ATCCGAACTTGCATGACAGCTCGCGACTGGAGAAACCCATTTGCTTCACTTATCAGCTTGATAATCTCTCAGGAATGAGAACGATTTAGTCCCATTATCGGGGGTCATAGTAGGGCTTGATCAATTAAGGGAACCCAAGTCCGTGACTAAGATGGACCTGAGGAATGCATATAACCTGATCACGATGGAGATAAACGGAAGACAGTGGACACTATGAACGCCATGAATTGTGTGGACCTGAGGAATGCATATAACCTGATCACGATGGAGATAAACGGAAGACAGTGGACACTATGAACGCCATGAATTGTGTGGACCTGAGGAATGCATATAACCTGATCACGATGGAGATAAACGGAAGACAGTGGACACTATGAACGCCATGAATTGTGTGGACCTGAGGAATGCATATAACCTGATCACGATGGAGATAAACGGAAGACAGTGGACACTATGAACGCCATGAATTGTGTGGACATTAGGAATGATTGGTGATGCCCTACGGTTTTGGGGACTCCACGTATTCAACGTAGTACTTTTGAACACTTGTAATACTTATTTCTGGCCTAACATGACCCAAGTCATAGCCTATTCTGTTAAAGTCTGTCTGGATTGTACTCAGTCAAAATTGGCCCTCAGGTCTCCTGACATCCCTGCCGAAAACCAACCTAATGTGGCCACAGACCCAACCTACACCCAATTTACTATGCCCCAACCTAGTTGGCCTGCAGATTGATGACCACTTCAATAACAAGAGTAACCCCTGTAGAATATGCCAAGGCATCAAGTCTATCAGACTACATTAGTGACAGTCCTATCAACACATCCTTTCCAGAATAACTAAGCAGCTTTTTTTGCGTGGTTCAACAGAGAAAAACACAGAACCATTCATTAAGGCCACACTAGCTACAGAAGTCTAAGAACTGGAAATGTGCACCCACAATGTCAAGTAAGCCCTCCATAAGTGTTGTGTATTGATGAATACTATTGTCCCTTGCTGGGTTTTGTACATTTACTCTTTACTACGTTGTTGTGTAAGCTCCACCTATGCTAGACCTGAAGTTCAGTATAGTCTGCCAGAACATACAAAAAGGGTCTCTAATTTAGTTGTTAAGCAACACCGCCACAACAATGCAATAAAAACAATGAGGCAATGAGGAAGAATCATTTCTACATTGTTTGTGGTTGATATTCTGGAACAGTGAGTTTTATTGGCATATACACGACCTGTGAGTGTCGTCGGTGATGCTAGCATGGGCAGGGCCTCTTATTCACGTGTGACTGGGGAAGTAACACTGGGAGGAAAATAGCTGACAATGCAGCTAACGGACGGGTGGCAGTAATTAAAAGAAAAAGTGGAGACACAAAACAACATAAGGAGAAAATATTGCATGGAGAAAAATGTCTGGTTAACATGGACACATGGAACTCTTTGACAGATCAGGAGAGCAATGGAGTTAATATTTAAAATGTGTCAAATATTAACACAGTAGTAGTGCCAGCTTTTCTGAGTGTAACGAATGGCAAAATGTACACTCTACTATACAGCCTGTTACTACCTTCTAAATCATTGAATGCTTTCATTAACAATATTGTACAAATGCTTAAAAAAACGTTACTCTTTTGTACCCCTCATAATTGTTAAAAGCAGAATCAATTGCACAGTTTGTTGCTGTCCGGAAACAGTTATCTGAACACTCTGAATTTGGATGCACGTTAAATGGCACAATAAGGGTTAGGTTAGTTTGCAGCTTGTTCAGTGAGATCATTGAGAAGCGTCTGCGCACAATATGGAAATGGCAGCAAAAGAGTCACAGTGGTTTAGCACATACATTCCAGCTTACGAGGTGCATAGTGACAAACAAAAACCTGGAGTTATCCACTCATGCTACAGGTGTGGTAAAGCCAGTTATCAAGAGCAGCAGTGTTGGTGAGAAGATACAGACTACAGTAGCTGTTAGAAAAGAGGGTGTTACCCCCAAACAAAACCACCAATCAAAGAAAAGTGAGAGGTTATTGACTGCTTGCCTTCATCTTTTGTCTGGAAGGGGGTATCATGCCACTTGCAGGGAGACCCTTGCAGCGATGTACCCTGTTGTTGTCTGCTCATCAGTATGACATCAAGTGCAGATGCTGAGAACATCATTGAAATGTAGTTAGCCTGTCCAGACATCCATTTGCTTGCCAAACAAACTGAGCCCAGCAGGCCGAAATGTTCTTCTTTAGAGAGGTACCCACTGAGATCACTTCAGGTGAGAAAATTCACTGACCCGATGTTTTACAAGAAGTGTTGGACATTGTCTTTCATGAGAGGGGAGGAGAGCTGACAGAGAACTTCAGGCCAAACCTGGTGCTACTTTTCTGCACTAGGTACAGCAAATAAAGTTTTCTACTGGAATAATGGTCTACCAGAAGAGAGAGTTTACTTTTCAGGTATCGTCGGCCTTTTTTGGAGAAGCTGCTGGTATGACTCAAGTAATCGTCCAGCTATAACCCCAGTCCAACAGCCAAACAGTGTGTCTCAGCTACTGTCAAAACCACTAACATGACTGAAGTAAGTTTCTCTTGTAGACTGACTACATGCAAAATTGCCTTACCAGTAAATCAGCCTCACGCCATTCCACTGTATATTAGGTTATCAGGCTCCTTAGTCTGGTGAATAGTCAGGTATGCCACCGGCGGACAAGTGGTTGCATCAGTGAATTAGTGTGGCACATGACACGTGTGTCTCTGCAGAATGACATTTGTAGCAAAAATCAGATAGACTAATGGCAACAGCTGCCAATATCTTGGGTCCCCCTTGTTGTTGTGTTTCATCATTCCTGCCTGGAGGCTTTGTTTTGGATACTCTTCTGTACAACTTTTTGCTTTTCTTGTCACTTTGGAGTTTCCCCAACGCGCAGTTAGTGCCTAATCATTCTACAGCTTTCGATTCTAAGACTGGATTAGCAATATTCATTTCATAATTAAACTCCACAGCTCGATCTTCATTTATGAGTCTCATGTCTTGGTGACATCTGACACCTTTTAACAATCCTAGTGTTTAACATACTGTCTTGTATGTGTGATATGATTAAGTTTATGATTAACCCAGGAGGATCAATCTACTCCCAAAACAAACTGAAATCAATTTCCCAAAACTCACTTAGTCCAATTTTTGTTGTTAAGATGAGATCTTAACATACGATACATTTCCAAAATTCATTCGAGTCCCATATATTTTCTCAAAAATGTGTCCTGTGGACTGAGTGTGCTCTTCAGTTATATATAGACAGTTCTGTATGGTACTTCAACCTTTAACCTAGATGGCTGAGTTATGATGTAGTTGTATTATATACTATCAGTGTTGTGATCAACTATCAGCTAGTTGTCCTCTTCCATGAAGAAATAATTAGGATTGAAAAGCGATTTTGGAAGGCAGATGGTAACAAGCTTGAAATATCGAATTATGAGAGATGCTTGTGCGCTTGTGCATATGGACTGTCTGCGTTGAGTGTGAATCACCTGGATAACTGGCCCTTACAGAGACTCCTCAGGTTGTTCTCAGGGTTACAGCCACAGAGCCCCATTACGAGCACGGTATACTGTATACTGCAAGGGAAATGATGTGCTTTCATACAATGAAAGCTTATTTCAAAGATATGCTAAACATGTTTGAGCACCTATGCGAGGTCCCCAGCTCTGCAGAGTTATAACAGAGATCGCTCCAAGGGAGACACAGCTGTCAGGAAGGCAGGCTTTGTTTTGGTAATAGCAGACATGTGATCCATTGTAAATTCAGAGCACTACATGTCATCACAGCTCATTTCATAAACTGTGACACTAAGTACCTCCAAGAGAGCGCCACCCGGTGGAGAACCTGGCTGATGCCGTTCTGTTAGTGATGTCTGTTGTGGCAATGTTCTTTCTTTTTTTAATGATGTTATTATTAATTATTCTGCATTAACATTATACCCTTTATGTATGTGTTCTGATTTTTAAAAAATCCACATTTTTTAAAACCACATTTGTATCTTGCTTAAGCAAATAGCTACACTTAATATATTTATACAAAATTACATTTTGTGATTTGTTTATATAATAAAATTTAGATATAATATAATAGTGCGACATAATGTTCTCTGGATTTAAAAAATGAACATCTTTGTAAATGTAGGAGGATTGTTACTGGCCTTGCGAATGTAACGCTTTTTGGCACTGAGCTGCCGCCCTGCTGTAGCAGACAGACCCTCCCTGACCCTCCCTAACCCTAACCCTGCCCCTCCCTAACCCTAACCCTGCCCCTCAATGCCACTGTTCCGTCTGTTCCTGAACTTTCCATGCTGCTCCCAATGTGGCCCCCTGTCGGTCCCCAGGGTTCGCCAGGCAAACTGAGATAAAAGTTGAGAAAAACTGAGAAAGGTTTCTATATGCAGCCTGTTAATATCTTTATGAATGAGCAGCAGATCATGCAGTGCCATTCTTCTCTCGCTGCAGTACGCATACCGCAAGTGGTACTTGGAGCGCCCCCAAGTGGTACGCGAAAAGATGGTAGCAGTTTTGTTTTGTGGATTGAAAAGATAGGACTTGAAAATTGAAACTGATGTAAAATTACTTGAATAAAAAAATTCTTAATCTTTTTCAGGATGATTATGATATTTTTCCAAATCCTCTGTTATGATGCATTTGTAGTGGGTTAGTGCAACATACTCCGTAGGCCTACTGCACCAGACAATTCATGAACTTTATGTCTATGTGTTTGAGTGTGCATGTCTGTGTCTGTGTCTGGTCATGTATGTTATATTGTATTGTGCTGCCAATGGGATTTATTGTATTTATATGTATGTGTAGCGCCACGGGGGCCCACGGAAAATGGTACTTCTCTCTTGAGTCTTTAAAGTGTGTCGAGCGCTTTTGGCAAAAGCATTTTCAAACAGCTGAATATAATGTAATTCTTGGAAGCTGAAAGCGTGGGATTTAAGTGCTAGAAAGTAAAGGCGGGATGCGGTGTCTGTTCACAGAACGCGGCTGGAAGCTCTCTCTGACAACAGCGGCAAGCTGCAGGTATCCCTGCAGGAGGTCACCGACTGGCTGACGCTGAAGGACGAGGAGCTGTCCCAGCAGCTGCCCATAGGGGGCGATGTAGGAGCCGTCCAGCACCAACTCGAGTTCCACCGGGTAAGCCTGCAGTCTGTTCTCAGACAGCCACCCTAACCCAAATCACTTTGGATGCGGCTTGATCTGACTCATTTTTGGTGGCAGACACCTGCAGAAAATACTCTAGTGAACATTTTATTATTTCCTGTGTTTGCTTCTGGATGGACTATAGAAGTTAATACATTTGGTGCAAATAAATGGTTTCAATGAATCTTGGATTTACTACAATTGATTTTGCGCAATAAGCAATTGTGATGTTCTACCATATTGTAAATTGAATTCGAGTTGATGCTAATATTAATGGTGGTACAGTGCATAGCCCTGTCACTTCAGCCTCACCCTCTGTCCTGGCTCCATGTGTGTGCAGTTTGGATGTTCTCCCTGTGTCATTGTGGGGTTTCCACCGGGTTCTCTGGTCCCCCCCCCCCCACAGTCCAAAAACATGCTAAAGTTAATTGAAGTTACCAAATTGCGGGTAGGTGTGACTGGTGCGTGAATGTGCCTGGTGATGGGTTGGTGCCCCATCCTGGGTTGTTCCCTGCCTTGTGCCCGGTGATGGGTTGGTGCCCCATCCTGGGTTGTTCCCTGCCTTGTGCCCGGTGATGGGTTGGTGCCCCATCCTGGGTTGTTCCCTGCCTCTCGCGCATAGCCATTGGGAAAGGCCCCAGACCCCCTGCAACCCTGAATAGGACAAATGGTTACAGAAGATGGAAGGATGGGGTAATATTCTTTGATACATGCGCAACCAATAAAATGTTTTTGGGAGGAAAAATATGATGAATTTTTGGAGAGAATTTTAAGATTTTTACACAATGAGAATGTAGAGAATAACAGGCGTGTGGCATGAGAGCTTGTAATCTGTCTTTGAGTGTCTCTTTCTTTACACACTAAATCTACCCTGGATTTTCCAGATGGTGCCTGTCAGGGAAATTTCTTTCCACACACATGCTGTAATTGAGAACGTGTCACTGCAGAGTGCAATTTTTCCTGCACTTTTGTTGTAATTTTCCAGTCTGTCATTCTTCCAAGAACATCTGTGGAATGGGCTGACAGAAAGTTGGGGTGCTCCTGTATTTGGGTATAGCCAGCGTTTTTTAATTAATCGGAGTCCAGGCTGCAGATCCTAATCACCACTATGGGAAAATACTCCAAGTGATATTTCTCTTTGTGCTTAAATAAATCTCTATGTGGGCATCTTTTCACTGCTGTCTCACATTTTCAAGCTGCTTGAATTCTGCTGTAAATCTTTACAACTTCTTGAACCATAATGCCTACATTACTAAGCCACTACATCATAATTTTATCTCAACTCAGTCCTCAAAGCCCTTTTGTGTCTTTAAAACTTTTCAGACAGCGCAAAGGGAGGAACTTGTGATGGCTGTACCCCAGAGAATTACAGGATTTTAGCAGACGTGAATTATTGATCTGAAGTGTCTGCGTTGTGTATAGTCCCCCTGTGTAAGAATGTGTCCCTTTAGTTTTCGGTTCTAAGATTTAACTTTGACAGATCAGAAGGAAAAAGAAAATTATTATCATAGGATTTCTAGGACCCAGGCAGGTAGATTTAGACCAATTTTTTGTGAAGTGAGGAGAATATTTTTCATAAAAGCTGTCTGCACGCATAATGTATCCTTTAGTGATTTCGCTTCTAAAGAAGAACAAACTTGAAACTTGTGAAAGGACTTCAAATAAAAGTTAAAATAGTGTAAAGATTTAACACTGCTTGGATTAAATTATCTCTCAATTGGTAATTTAAGGTTAAGGAGTCATCTAACACACTCAGTCACGCACGCTGTTTTTTTTTAACAGTTCACTGAGGCTCTTTGCTTAATATACTTACTATAGACTTTAATTGCAAGCAGCCTACTGTGGTCCTGCGGTTTTGTGAAGTATGGCATAAATGAAGCTGCAACACAAGTGATTTCATTAATCTTCATACTTTAAGGGACGTGCAAGACTACACCTTGCAGTGCACTCAGACTTGACTTAGGGTGCAATGTTACGTGAGAAGACTGTTATGTAGTCATTTTAATGCTGATACATCCAGACTTGGCTGATGTACGAAAAGCACTATGATGCTGCAGGACGTCTAGAACATAATGTGTCACACATATTGATCTCCAGGGTTTTCATGATGGTATTATGGTGACAGACAGTTACCGCTTGTGTTTACTGGCTGCATCATTGCTCTGCAGCGATTCAGACCTCGGTGTTCTGGTGTCCGTCCGAACTCCCCCTGCAGGCTTTTGTGGAAGATGTGAATTCCCGAGGTCCCTTCATCTACTCAGTGCTGGAATCTGCCCAGAGCTTCTTGACACAGCATCCGTTCCCTGAGGAGGAGGCGCTCGTTGACGGCAAAGGTCTCTTTGTTTGTATATTATGCCTTTCTTTGTGCCAATGTCAAGGTCATGTGCAATAACCCTTACTGAGCTTAAACATACTCAGGCAGTTTAGATCATGGAGGTAAAGAGCGGCTCAGTAATAGGAAAAATCCCCAGTAATTGTCAGTACGTAACTTGTGGAGCCAGCAGAGATCCACTGGTATGGGGTTCATAGGGCTGCACCCTCTATACTGTAGTAATGCTCATCTGCCACCTTCTACTGTCAGCAGCAGCACCAAAGCCCTGACCTCCCGTTCCCCTCAGACACGTCACCGAGGCGGCGGATTCAGGATGTCAGCCGCTCGGTGTGGAAGCAGGCTAGCGTGGCCGGTGACCTGTGGGAGAAGCTGACGGCGCGCTGTATGGACCGACACCGGCACCTGGAGCAGACACTGCAGCTCCTGGCCGAGGTGCAGGGGGCCGTGGGGGAGCTGGGCACAGCGCTGGAGCAGGCGGAGGGTGTGCGTGACGCCTGGGGGCCGGTGGGGGACCTCTTCATCGACACGCTGCAGGACCACATCGACGCCACTAAGGTACGTTGTCCAAAGGCAAGTAAGGATATCACTCTGTTGGGGGATGTTATATCTGTAAGAAACAAAAGTGAGTGAAATGCTTTAATACAGGAACTTGTAAACAGATGTAAATCCCTTTGGATGAAAGCCATGGCTCTGCAGAAGAAAACGATTTTTCTGTGTCCTGCAGTGCATCTGATTTAGTCGTTTGCTTTTTTGCTTTGGAGTCTGTCGGCTAAATGTAAACAGGAACACAAATGGAAGAAATAAACAGGGCGTCACTAAAGCATTTAGTGAAGATAATTGCTTCATTAGTGCTTATCTGATTCAGAGAAATCAAAGCGCTCTGGGTGACTCAATGGATCAATTAGTTTGTCTGTTTGTGATGCACGGTGTGTTGCTTTTTCGCACCAGTGATATGCAAAATAACCCATCCTAGTCGATGGAGCAACGTGAGCACCCATGCTAGTTTGCTTTTCATGTTAAATCTTTTCAAAATATTTTGACTTGCGCATATAATGTTTCAATAATTATTGACAATGTGATTATCGTTCTATGGCCTTTAACCAGAGAGATGATGGTGGGACTCTTTTTATAATCCATCAGGACTGTTATTGCAAACAGGCAGGACTCTGAATAGGCTTTTAAGGGATTAAGAAGCACTATTCTGGCTGAAAGGTTAAGGAGTTGTTAGGAAGAGTTAATCATTCTCTGATCATGCTGATCACATTCTGTTACAGCTTTTCAAGGAGGAGTTGACCCAAGTAAAGGAGGGTATGGACCATGTCAACAATCTGACGCACCAGCTGGCCATCTCTAACGTGCACCTCTCTGTGGAGAACGCCCATTCGCTGGAGTTCCTCAACAGCAGATGGAAGCTGCTGCAGGTAAAGGCCACCCTCATGGTCTCCTCACTAGTGCCATCGCTTGAGGTCCCATCTGCAAAGCCGCGCACATCAGTGCCTTCAGAGACTTTTGGTACGAATAGCTGGATTATGTAGCTGTTGATTAGATTTTTTTCCATTGTATTTCAAATCTCGATAAACATCGCTCAGACAGGGCAAATTAGGCAAGGCGCTTTAAGTATAGAACGCTTGCAGAACACTTAATATCCCTCTCAGAGATGGACAATGTTTGGTGGTGTGTTTGATATTTAAACCCCAGTATATTCCTCATCCATTTGGATGCTTAAAAATCCGATCCGAAACACCTGTGAACAGCAGCAATGTTTACCACCAGTCAAGGCATCCATCTGTGGGCTCCCTGAAGGTTGGGAGACGCCTGTTTGCCACAGTCACTACATTAAATATTAAATCAACATTTTGCAGATGCAGAAGCAGCATGTTCTGCTAACAAAATAACTAGCTACGATCTTCTGACTGTACTTGTTAGCTAGTTATTTTTTTACAACAGTATATGCAATAATGAAGCAATCCCAGCTTGCACCATGAAATTAGACAAAAACAGTGATAGTAAATCTCAATCCAAAAGTTTCCCTAAGCCGACCAGTCTCACCAGCAACCATGAACAGCCCAATGAGGATGTGACAAACTTTACAAACACGCCCCCTGGCTGAGGGAACAGAGGCGGGAAATTCGCCTGATATGTACTGATGTGAGTGTCTGCTCTCTCTGCGCTCCGTCCCAGGTCGCTCCTCATAAGAACGTCTCCTGTTTTCCTGTGGCTTTCTGCAGATGAATAATGCTATTAATACATAATAAATAACAACTACTTGGTGCCTAGTGTCACAGATTTGCCCCATTTTCTGACGTTTTTATTGTAGCTGTGTATTAAGCAGACTGAAGAAAAGATTGAACGGCACAGTCCGTGTCTCTGAATAATGCAGATACCTTGGAAGTTCAAGCCTATGAAAGCATGCAAAAAGGCGTTCCTTCTGCAAGTCATGCTCAAAAAATGGATAACACTAAATCCTGAAATGAAACCTCAATCAGTTGTGAATTGATAGGGTCTGAGATATACACACATGCACATATTATGTATATCTATGTCCCAAGACAATCTCTCTCAGTGGAGGATGTATTGCTGCAGTCATCATCTGTTTGAGAACATTTATTACATGTTGGATAACTGCTTTACTTTAAAGACTTGAACTGGAGTTTTTTGCTACTCCAAGGAGAAAAGAACATACTTCCTGTTTACGTTCACGCCGTGACATTCAGGCCCAATCCCAATTCTATTTTCTACCCCTTTGCCTACCCCTCACCCCTTCCCCTTGCCCCTTGAAATGAAGTGGAAAGGGGTAGGGTTAAAAAATTTCCCCTAAGAAATGGGACACCACTACTACACTGTTATACGTCATCATCCATTGTCACTACCTCCTAACGTTACGTCAGAGGACATGCGCCGATGTTTATCACAAATTGCCAAGAGTGTCCAGCTGCAGACGCCTGTAGAGTGGAGCTCCACCGGAAATACGTCACCTCCACA